CCTCTAGACAGGTTGCCCAGAATCCGGTTTCGCTGCATGTTTTCAATTTTCATAGTTGTTAGGCATTCTGAAAATCTAAGGTTATAATTATTTTGAAGGTTGCACATTCGCATTATCGCAGGAGAGGAGTTATACGTTAGAAGTCTGCAATGAAGCGCAGCCAGCCTGTTTGAGCCACAACATTCATCCGGTAAGTAAATTTAATTGGTAGCTCGGTCAAGTTATCGCGCGATTGGAACGAGTCGGTCTGCTTGTGTCGGAACGGGAGCACTAACAAGCTGAGTGGTCGGGTGGGTCGGGACCGGTTAGGCAGGTTGCAGGCCACAACCCACTCGCTCGTGACTGGTCAGCCCGAAATTACTTCTAGTAGTCCGTCCAGGTGGGAATGACCAGCATTTATTTTGACGGGACATCAGGTATAACATCTCAACAAACAGTCAATTTGGTATTGCAAAATAGCATTGATCTACAGCGAATTGAAGCGGAATGTGTGTTTTTTTTACGTTCATGGACAAATTCTTTGTAAAAAGTAGAATTTATCCAAAACGCAGCGAATCCTCCCAATCAAAACATAACACCTTTTCACCGTAAGCCCACCTCCCATGTCGCCTCAGCAGCCATGCTTTTGACCCCTCCTGGGACCGTCGCCGTGTCTCCCCAGCCCAGTGACTTGGACCCCACCGTGGACCTCAACTCCGGTCGGCCGTGCCCCCAGCACCGAGACACGTGCCCCGCACAATCCATGCTCCGCTCCGTGCCTCCGGCCCTGCCCAGAGCCGCCGGCATGACCCACAGCGCCGTTGTATTGTTCTGTGCCGCCGCCGCAGGGCGTCATGCAGAAGTGGCTCGGGCAGATTCCGGGAGGGTCACGGTGATTTGGCGTCGCCAACCTTGGACTCCCAGCTGCCGGCGCGGGGTGCTTTGGAATGGCCGAAGGCGGATGCCGGCCCATACCGTGCCCAGACATGCGTGGCTGCTCAGAATGCTGAACGGAAGCATAAATGGGCGGCTGCGCTTCGCCACGGTGCTCACAGAGGTTATCTGGAATGCAGCAATCTACCAAGTTTGTGCGTTCCAGCTTATGTGAAGCGGGCATGCACATTTTAGCATGGTAAGTGCTGAAGCCCTATGGCGCTCTCGTGTTTTTTTTTTTTTACACGTGACTCATAAATGCGTGAATGCTGAGATGTGACCAGTAGCGGCGGAACACCTTCAATTAAGAGGGGGGGGGGGGGGCACTGCCGACTTTTGGTCCCATTCTTTCCATGTGCAACGCCCATAGGGATAATGTTAAAATGCCAAAATCAAAGGGGGCACGGTGCTCTGGTGCCCTCCCCGTTCCGCCGCCTATGTGACAATTTTTCACATCAATCACATCGTGTGACAATTTTTTTTTGCATCATATCAATTCCTAGCATTCAGCGGAATTGCTATTCGGCCCTTTTCTCTTCCCCGTGCTTCAAAACGCACCGATCAATACAAACTTCAGGCTAAAGGTCAGGAATGAACAGCTTATGAAGTGTACAACTTAAAATATCTACCCACGCACCATTTGAGTTGTCCTAATTTATCGTTCGCACCCTGTATAGTTATCAGTTGAAATGCCAGTGTTATACCCAGCAAGACAGATATTTCGGGTATTGATACCCAGCGTATGTATGCTACTTTCAAGATGATGGCTTGAAACAGTCGGGAACGTCTTGGAAATGCAAAAGCAATGTCCATATCGTGGCGCATACATGCGCTGGTTCCAGCACAAATCGATAGTCGAGCGCGCACTCCCGCAGCTACCCAACCCTAACAGCTCCGAGACCAGCAGCTCTGTTCAACAACATCATCAATCCTCCGTGGACTCTGACGGCCGAGCTCAGAACCGTGTGTGTGTGGCAATCACTACTTCTTTCTGTCCGTGTCGGATGCCCATTCACGGTCGAGCCATGCGTCAGCCGCCCCACGCGTGATCTACGCCCCTCAGTTGCGCGGCGCCGTGACCGCTTTGGGAGCAGCCGGCACCGTGACACGGTAATTTGTCAGTCGCTCCTCAACGCGCCGTCTTCTCACGGCCACTGATGCATGTGACGCGGGTGAACTGGTCAGCTGGAGTGAGTTATCTGGGTGAGATGGCAGCTCTCCCTCCGGGCATTGGGCTTCGTGTGAAAGGTTTCTTTTGGTGTGATGCTGGTTGAGCTCGGCTCGGTTTTATTTTGATTCAGGTTGAACCGATAATTCGTTAGCGGATGGCTTGGATGGCTTCAGAAATAGTCCTTTTGGTATGCGATTTTTTTAATTTGATGAACCCTGAGCCGTATTTGAAAATGGAATAGGTATAAGTATGATCTAACCACATAAACGCTCGATGAGTAGCTCTACAGAGGCCTGAAAAGGCCTTAGGGTTTTGTTTACTGAATTTACTGATGTTTACTGAAGATCGATAATAAGCAAAGCAACACTTGGCCATAAAATCGCACAGTAGCGATAACTTAAGGTTTAAAGCGCTTTAGCATACACCCAGCCAGTTCATGGCGAGCATGGTAACATGTCGGTCTTTCCTTTTCTCTAATTACTAGACCCTCATCGCACCACTCCGAGCAACTGGGTCGGAAGGAGGGTGGTAAGGAGGGAATGCTTCAAACACGGCCTTACACAGTCCCTAGGCTAATGCCTTACACTGAGCACACCGCATCAATGACATAACGATGCCGCCATGACAGGTGGCGGCCCTTATGATGTTGCCACCGCTGCCTCGGCTCCGGATTGCTTCCGGAAGGCTAGCGGAAACCGCAGCGGCCGATGACGCCTGACACATTCATATACACTGGATGAAACTCGAAAGTCGGCCGGAGCCGTGCCGCAGCTGACGACTTTTACAAAGCCTAACGACTCATGTAACAGCCGACAGCAGGCGGGTGAAACGATGACGTCTGTGACGGCTGATGACGTCTGTGACGCACGCCTGATGACGCGAGACAAACCGTTCTCTCCCCAGCTGTCGCTCGGGCGCCGTGGGACCCGACCTGGGGCGCTGTGGGACTCACTTCGGGGCGTCGTGGGACCTATTGTGGATGGGGCGGGGCAGAGGAGGGCAGGCCGAGACGGGCCTAAACTATGGAGCCACGCTTGGGTTCAACCAGAGTGCCATGCTTAGCTATTTATGGCGTTTATGAGCATGTGTGGTGATATCGGTGTTGTCAAGTACATGTATCTAAAAGTCAAGTTTACGACCTAAATCCTAAAAACGTTTTGGGCTTACTCTGGGTTTGAACTTAGGCAAAATGCTTTGCGTTTACAGGTAGTGATCTGTAGCTGGGAGCCAATGATGACATGTCGCATTTGAGAATCTCCGTAATATTGAAACCGCATGCGATGGGACAGTCTCCCAGTCAAGATGCTTTGAACGTGCCCCAACAGATGACTGGGGCGCTCATGCAATGAAGCACAGTCACGCTAACATCTCACGTTTGTCTTCTATCTAGCGTCCCGGGATAATATAGTGCGATTCGATAAGTAAGCGATTGGCAGGTGGAATTCAGCACTTCTCTGCTGGGCCCGACATCTGCGGTCGGCGCAGTTTCTGGCCACATGGATCAGCCATCTCCGATTAGTTCACTATAGCTCTCACTAGCTCTGATTAGCCCGCTTCGCACTATCTTAGGGTGAATCAATGTCTACCTTTACCTTTTTTTAGCATAAGTGGCATTGACAAATTGTATCACCAATCCCCGTGCTGAATAAAAAAACAAAAAAAAACATTGCTTATCACCTGCATGGTCATTGGACATTGGCGACTCGATATCTTCATTCTGAGACCAATTTCTTCACCGATCATGTGTGCTAAATGAAGTGTCTATCGCTTGTCCATTTGGCTCATTTACTCACTCACTTGTCAGTTTCGGGCTGGGTGCCTCTGGCCGCGGCTGGCCGACGGGGCTGCGAGTTTCACTGATGGTTTCACCGACGCCGGATCGGTCGACGATTGCGGCTGATGGACTGTTTGCGGTCACCGCCGCACGCCTCACGGCCCACGGGATTTGGCGATGGGAGGTGTGGGCTGGCCGCGCCGGGTGGGCTTCGTGGTGGGTGGAGGGGGAGGGGTGGGTGATCCATGCGATTGTGCGACTTCGTCTGTCGATGGCATACTAACTATGTAGAAAGTCGACCTAAAGTCAAAAATGTACAGGAAAAGTGGAGCTTTATGAGGGGAAATAAAATAGAACAAGACCCTTAAAAAATAGTAGGCAATTAGGCATTGACTTTGCACTGATTTTGAGAAAAAAGTTTTGTCCCTTCCCTAATGTTAAGCTATATAGACAAAGTACAAAATATGTAGGTAACGTGTATGATCACACCTTGTGTGCAAACATTGAGATAAGATAGTCAGCCAAACGATGATTTCTCGTGTTACTCTTGGGCTGCGATCACCACTTTAGGTGACGACACAGTTCACCCACTATCTTTGTTATTTCGTTATTTCTTTTGTGGCATCATCTCTGACCTGCTAACTTCCTTTCGAAGCGAAAGAGACGATCATTAGCAATTAGCATATTCGCCGGGTCATCAGCGAGTCAAAAGTGGGCCTCGTGCATTTGTAAGTGACCTTGTGTGTGTCTCCACCAGACGATCACATGTTTCGCCAATGAAGACACGGTGGCGGCGTTTTGTTTCAGTGGTAGTGACACAATAGCTGCGAGCGGTGACGAGCGGCGATCGATCAGCTTCTGCCCTCTCAGAGTGACAGGTCAGGCTGCTACCGACGATCCGACGGTACTTCTGACCCTGGATATAGCGTGGCGTAACCAGCCCCTAATCAGCACCCCTGAGAGCGACAGGTCAGCCTGCTACTCGCGGTGGCTTTTCAGATCCGAGGTGTTGAGTGACGTAGCCCCTCCTCAATCAACGCCCCTGGGCCTGACAGAGCAGGCAGCTTCCGACGCTTTGCCCGGCCCTGGTTATATATGAGGTAATCTAGACCCTGCATCCTCCCCGTCGACGATCCAACTTACCACTCTGCTGACCTCGCTGGCGGCTGAGACCGACGACCAGAGCCACGACGGATGGGAGATCATCGTTACCGACGACTCAGGATGACATAAAGCGGCTCCTCCGTCCGATTCGGCACTGATCTGCAGAATTATATGGCAGCCGGAGACCACTGAGCTGACTGCTCGATCTCCCTTCTTGTGAGTCGCAGTCAGATATCTCGCGATGGTAAATTCAGGGTCGTCTGAGAATCGAGCCCCTGTCTACAGCACGGCCCGCAGTTCAGCTTCTCAGTATCGTCCACAGGCCACAACACTCCGCACGTGCTCTATCCGTTCGCGCAGCCCCACTCAGCACACCTCTCGGCAGCTGGCCACGCGGCCGAGTGCGTTCCAGTCGGAGACTCCGTCGGCGGGCCAGGTGATGGGAGCGTACAGTCTCTGGCAGAACAGTCTCCGGCGGTACAGCCTCCGGCAGTGGAGAGAGTGCAGGAGGTGGAGGTGGGGTGCGTGCTGGTGAGCCCATTCACAAATCAGATGAGATGTGGAAGCATCACTTAGAGAGAGAGAGAGAGAGAGAGAGAGAGAGAGAGAGAGAGAGAGAGAGAGAGAGAGAGAGAGAGAGAGAGAGAGAGAGAGAGAGAGAGAGAGAGAGAGAGAGAGAGAGAGAGAGAGAGAGAGAGAGAGAGAGAGAGAGAGAGAGAGAGAGAGAGAGAGAGAGAGAGAGAGAGAGAGAGAGAGAGAGAGAGAGAGAGAGAGAGAGAGAGAGAGAGAGAGGAGAGAGAGAGAGAGAGAGAGAGAGAGAGAGAGAGAGAGAGAGAGAGAGAGAGAGAGAGAGAGAGAGAGAGAGAGAGAGAGAGAGAGAGAGAGAGAGAGAGAGAGAGAGAGAGAGAGAGAGAGAGAGAGAGAGAGAGAGAGAGAGAGAGAGAGAGAGAGAGAGAGAGAGAGAGAGAGAGAGAGAGAGAGAGAGAGAGAGAGAGAGAGAGAGAGAGAGAGAGAGAGAGAGAGAGAGAGAGAGAGAGAGAGAGAGAGAGAGAGAGAGAGAGAGAGAGAGAGAGGAGAGAGAGAAGAGGAGGAGAGAGAGAGAGAGAGAGAGAGAGAGAGAGAGAGAGAGAGAGAGAGAAGAGAGAGAGAGAGAGAGAGAGAGAGAGAGAGGAGAGAGAGAGAGAGAGGAGAGAGAGAGAGAGAGAGAAGAGAGAGAGAGAGAGAGAGAGAGAGAGAGAGAGAGAGAGAAGAGAGAGAGAGAGAGAGAGAGAGGAGAGAGAGAGAGAGAGAGAGAGAGAGAGGAGAGAGAGAGAGAGAGAGAGAGAGAGAGAGAGAGAGAGAGAGAGAGAGAGAGAGAGAGAGAGAGAGAGAGAAGAGAGAGAGAGAGAGAGAGAGAGAGAGAGAGAGAGAAGAGAGAGAGAGAGAGAGAGAGAGAGAGAGAGAGAGAGAGAGAGAGAGAGAGAGAGAGAGAGAGGAGAGAGAGGAGAGGAGTGAGAGAGAG